ATGCATACTTACACAAAATTACACAATAAATGAAACACACTCATTTATAAAACCGTTTTGACAATTTTCTCGCTTTTACTATCCCAATGTTTTTGAGCATTAATTTCTTTATTGAAAAACTTAATTCTAAAGTCGCTATTCGTACCTCGTCATAGTCAGCCGGTGGGACAGCTACTCCATCATCATTCACAATACGCCAAATCTTGGAAAAGACCCGCGAGAATAGGATCGACACACACCATCTATTTGTCGATTTCAAAGCCGCTTTCGACAGCACGAAGAGAAGTTGCCTTTATGCCGCGATGTCTGAATTTGGTATCCCCGCGAAACTAATACGGCTGTGTAAAATGACGTTGAGCAATACCACCAGCTCCGTCAGAATAGGGAAGGACCTCTCCGAGCCGTTTGATACCAAACGAGGTTTCAGACAAGGGGACTCCCTTTCGTGTGATTTCTTTAATCTTATGTTGGAGAAGATAATAAGAGCCGCAGAACTGAACCGCTCAGGCACAATACTTTATAAGAGCGTACAATTGCTGGCGTATGCCGACGACATCGATATTATCGCTAAAAACAAGGGCTACGTCTGTTCTGCCTTCTCGGGATTGGATAGAGAAGCAAAGCGAATGGGTCTGGTGGTGAACGAGGACAAAACGAAGTATCTCCTGTCAGCACACAAACAGTCAGAGCATACGCGTCTTGGCACCCACGTCACTGTTGACAGTTACAAGTTTGAAAAAGTAGACGACTTCGTTTATTTGGGAACCAGCATTAACACCAATAATAATGTCAGCCTTGAAATCCAACGGAGAATCACTCTTGCCAACAAGTGCTACTTTGGGCTGAGTAGGCAATTGAGAAGTAAAGTCCTCTCTCGTCGTACAAAGATCACACTCTATAAGTCACTCATCATGCCTGTGCTGGTGTATGGCGCGGAAGCATGGACAATGAAAGCATCTGATGAGGCGGCTCTTGGAGTTTTCGAGAGAAAGATTCTGCGAAAGATTTACGGACCTTTACGCGTTGGTGATGGCGAATATCGCAGACGATTTAACGATGAGCTGTATGAGCTTTACAACGATATAGACATAGTGCAGCGAATTAAAATTCAGCGGCTCCGCTGGCTTGGCCATGTCGTTCGGATGGACAGAAACGCTCCTGCTCTGAAAATATTCAACGCGGGCCGCGATGCTGGTAACAGAGGAAGAGGAAGGCCTCCTCTGCGTTGGAAAGACCAGGTGGAGAAGGACTTGGCTTCACTTGGCATTTTCAATTGGCGTCAGTTAGCACAGAAGAGAAATGACTGGCGTGCTGTTTTGGACTCGGCCAAAATCGCTTAGGCGGTTACAGCGCCAAATAAGAAGAAGAGAAGAATTCTAAAGTATATTAGTCATTAAAAGTTTGATTCTTCTAAATTTACATCAGAACTTAACTTCAATAATTAAGCTATTAAATTTTTGCTATTCGAAATTTTCTTTCCATTAAATTTATTAAAAATTACTTTCAGTTTCTTTATGTCAACAAGGAATACTGGTTTAGGTTTTATCAGACCACCATTTGAAATTTGGCCTATCCATGTATGCATATGAAAGGGAGATTTTCTTTTCATATTCGGTATGATAAATCCTGCACCTGGGACCAAACGCGTCCACTTAAAAATACTCGGCTGCGATGGGCAACAAATAAAGTCACGACCACACGTGAAGAGTCTCCTAATGAAACATCGCAGCAATTTGCCCACCGTTGCCGCTTCACTTGACAATTCGAATGCTTAAAATAACGCACAAGTTTGTTGTCCAGGCTCTTGACTAACACAACGCAATTTTATTAGAAGTCAAATGGCTAACAACAACAACGAATGTTATTAAATGGAACTACCTATTTTTTTGTATCATGCAAGGCACATTAAACAGGTAGTATCCGTAGAGCAAAAACAACATTTGCGTGTATTTTGTTGTTGCTTCTGGTATCGAAAGTGTCAACAACTGTTCTGAATTTTTTCTTCTAAATCAAAGGGTGCCATGTGAAATACAAAAATTAAAAAAAATTTAAATTGGAACAAATAAAAACTGTTGCAACTTTCTTTCCTAGTAAATTTGTTTGCTTCTCGAAGCAATGATCCATCCTTTACAAGGGCCAGTAATCAGCGGTTGTGCTGCTGAGTTGGGCGAACGTTCCAAAAGCTGCTATTCAATCGCTTGTTTTGTATGGAAAAAGGTTTCGCATGCAAATGGATTTTAACAATTCAGAATTTTTGTGAGAAAAAATTAAAAATATTTGACATTTTCGAGACCAAATAATTTGAAAATAAATCAAATCAGCTGCTCTACTGATACTACCTGTTCAATGTACCTTGGTATCATGAGTAGAACCCATGGTACAATAATTACAGGTATTGTCCGATCTGCCTTAATTGAAAAAAAAATCATTGTTGCCCACACTAAAAGGTTTACTGTAAGGCAAATGGGGTATTTCTATTCACCATATACCATGTAGCCATGTATTTTTCTAAAACAAACCTTCTTGCAGAGAACTTATTTAATTTGAAAAAGCCGAACAAATATTTAGCTTATTAAACAAAACAAAAATTTTTATTGCTCAATTTATTTTAGAAGTTTTTTCTTAAATTGAGCGAAAACCCAAAGCAAAGCCTCCCATGATAAAAATCAAGGCATAACAGGGTAGAAGTGATTTCGACATTCCTCTCTTTCGAACTGCGACTGTAATGTTAACTCTTAACCCTATACAATTCAAAATTTTAATTTTTTAATTTCAGTTTTCAATTTTGAGCTGTGCGACTGATTTTAAATACATACATACAAAAATAAAATGAGAAGGAATTACGAGCGCTGCGCTCTGTGTAGCAAGAGCCAGGACAACAAACTTGTGCGTTATTTTAAACCTCCTAATTGTCAAGTGAAGCGACAAGCTGCGGTGTTCCATTAGGAGACTCTTCGCGTGTGTGCGAACACCATTTTAGTGGCAGTGACTTTATTTGTTGCCCATCACAGCCGAGTATTTGCAAGCGGACGCGTTTGTTCCCAGGTGCAGTACCTCTACCATACAAGTCCCCAATGCTTGAGTTATCTGAAGTGTCGGCCGTTCCTGAGGTGTCTGTGGGGACGAAGTTAGCTGTTGATGCACAGATTCAAACTGAGTAAGTCTGCCATAAACAAGCACGACCGGATCCACGAGTACATTAACATATACATATAAGCATATACATATACATATATACATATAAATTTACCGCTTTAGACCACCATTTACTGTTATAAAATCGACGTTCTGGTTCTTAACATCCCTTTTCCTTTTTTTCATAATGCCATGTGAAAAGAGTCGCGTTTTTATTTTTCATACATAGCTGGATTTCTCATACGGAAATTAAGCATTACTGAATATGAAGAGAAAATCTCCCACTCATATACATGGATAGACCAAATGTCAAATGGTGGTATAATAAAACCTAAACAGAAATACTTGTGGACATAAAGAAACTAGAAGTAATTTTTAATAAATTTAATGGAAAAGAAATTTCGCATTGCAAAAATTTAATAGCTGAACTATTGAAGTTAAGTTCCGATGTAAATTTAGAAGAAAGAATCAAATTTTTTTTTTTTTAAATGTCGAATATACTCTAGAACTAAGTATTTGAATAAAAAAATAAATGCTCAAAAACATTGGGCTAATAAAAACAAGAAAATTGCCAAAACGGTTTTATAAATTTACATTTACATTAAACGAAAATACAAAAACTAAAATGAAGACGATTTTAATGTGATTTTAAATATATTCATATTTACAAAAACTTTCATTTCATAGATATTGAATTTTATCAAATATGGTACATGCATAACAAAGGGTTAATTTCTTTATTTACGTTTTTTGACATTACAGTCGGGTATGAGAGCTCGACTGAATTGTCACTTCTACCTTGTTGAATATGCCTTGATAAAAATATAGTAAGGTAGAATCGCTGAGTCACTTAAAATTCTTGACGTTTCCAAACAATTTTTTTAATTTTACTCACAAACTCACACACACATTTTCATTTTCAATCTCAAACAACAACAATTTCGAACAGTTTCAATTTTTTTATTTTCACTTTTATATGATTTTAAAATGCTGGCAAACTTCAAAAAAAAATCATGGCCGACAAATTGAGAAAACGGTTCTACTTTGCTATGTTTTTATCATGAAGCCTCCTATAAAGGCTGATTTTCACTCTGTCAAACTCAGTGGCATTTGTCGTCAATTAAGTGAAAACACATTGCCAAATGTGATTAAAAAATCGGTTTATCGACTGATTTGGGTGCGGATAGGTCTTTAGTCGTGTGAATGCGCTGCTAAGTCGGCTATATGTGTTTTTGTCCTATATCATCGGTCAAGGTATGGATAAAGGAGTTAAAGTTGTGTCAAAATATGTCGCCAAATTTCGGCGTCAAAATATGACAGTGAAAACCAGTCTTAAGTAAAAGAATCAACAATAAAATGCGTCACAATGAAAATAAGGGAGCTCGAATTTCAATGTGAAGCAAAACTCTCTGGGAAGACAATACCTTTAATAATTGCACCATGATATAAAACCCAGTTGAGGTTGAAGAAAACATGTTTTCTCTTAACTTTTTATCGGCTTGTGGAAACTTTCGAGCCTTTTAATTACAAAATGTGTGCTTTAAAAATATTTTAGCTAGACAAGAACAGCTGTTTCATTTAAATTCACAGCAAATAGTAAACAAATACCGCTGTCATTCACAATAGTACATCTATCGGGCGTGTGGAAACCGTAATATGAAACATTCTATACGATATGCTTGCAGGCGTCTATCGTCTATATATGTGTGAATAAATCGTTCCCACTGGAGTTTTGGGAAATACAATCAATTTTTGTATAAACCTGTTTTTATTTTATTTTATTTTTGTTGATCTTGTTTTTCTAATTTATTATACATACACACAATTAAACCTGCAATAATACTATTTTTTTACATTTTGCTTGCAGATTAAAGGTTTCGCGTTTCTATATTTTCCTTGTGTTGATTTATTCACTGAATTCGAACCAATATAAATACGACCAATGAATAACTGAAATAAGAAGTTGCACGAATTAGTGATACATATATGCCGGTAATTTTTATAATACACAGTATCCCTGCAAACCATTTTTTAAAGTATTCTGAGTTGTAGAGAAATTTAAAAAAATTCGTAAGATATCCGATTTTTGTATAGAATTTTCTAAAATGAAATAAACTGTGCACCCTTAAATTCACTTGCGCAATTTCGGAAGAAAATCGGTGAAGCAATGAAAATTATGCTGCTAAGAATTTCTTGAAGATTTTTTTTTTTTCGTAAAGTAATTTCGATTTTCGATTTCGTGTCAACCACTTCATATAACTTTCTTTGAATATTAGTTTTAAAAAATCGTTACAGAAATGAGATACTCCTAAAGATTTCGTTAAGATTTCGAGAACTTTGGTTTGCAGGGCTGAAATGTATAAATATGTACATACCTTGTATGGATGAGATTTTTTACTTCATTTATACCTAGAAAATTTACTTTACAATTTTAGAGATTCAAATCCAAAAAGTTTTACATCTTTACAATGATTCAAATTTTCCGGCAGCAAAACGTTATCTACTATACAAAAGTACTGTTGATAGAAAAGCGCATTTAGTCGCTCTTCATGGCGCAAGTCCAGCGTTTTTGGTACATCTTGCGAGTCAGCCCAGTCTGAGAGACCTTTCTCTAGAATCCACTTGGAACTCATGTCAAGGTAATAGTTCTTACGAAGCGCATCGACTTTTTGAAGTGTCGCAAGAATTTGCAAAGATTTGTCGTGGTATCGTTGAGGATCAATAGCGCGCATTAGAAGCGCGGATGTCAACAAGGTCCATTTGCTATCAGGTTCGTATTCTAATAAGCTTTGGCAAGACTCTAATTGTGATTGTAATTCATTCAAAATGCTTCCTGTAAATACTAAAGACTGATTTGGTTGTTTAAAGTAGAATACACTTTTGTTATAGGGTTTTAAAACAATTCGTTTTTCTTCTATATCGGGAATTTTTATATTCAGAATAGTGTCATTGATATCTGGTACGAGATGAGTTGCTTTATTAGATTGAGAATACACCCAAGTGGTGTCTGCCTCAGTGCCGTTTAAAGGCTTCCAATTTTTAAGTTTTATATGTATACTATTGTTTGAATCCGTTAACGCTATATTTGCATTACCTAGGATTATAGGATTAGTGAATGCAATAACTGCATGGTTATTGTCGTGTCGGAATGCACATACATCTAGCTCTTGTCTGGAGTAGCCCAGTAACCACCGTTGGTAAAACCACGCACTGCTATCTTTTGGATCCGTAAAAGCGGCCGTAAGAACCATCTCTAGCTCTTCTCTCAGTTTTGACTCGCTCATGGCTTGTTTAGGAGTATCTCCTTTATAAGGATATAAAATAGGCAACAATAAACTGCGGTGATGCCACGACGAGTAGTTTGAAAAATTGGCTTTAATTTTTTCCGTGCAAAAATCAAGTTCATTCTGTCTAGAAACCTGTGCTCTTACCGCTACATAGCGCCGATAGTCCCATGTGTGAAAGTTTCGTTCGTCCATTTTCAAATATTTGCTGCAAAGTTGTACTTCACGTTCCCAATTGGCGTTTGGACTATGTTCCAAAATCCAGCACCGATGGTGCCAACCGTTGTAGGATTTGGGATTTACTAACAAGCACTGCTCGCTGAAGTTTAATTCCGCATCATAAACCCCGTTTTTCTGATCTAAATTCGTCTTCTTTTCGACGCATTCACGTCTAATGTTCCACAATGTCGTGACATCGGGATTTCTTAGTAAGATTTGTGAAGTTAGTTGCAACATTTCGTCATCCAATTCTTTTCGCCGCCGTTTATCTTGTATTTTGGACATCGTGGAATTATAGGCTTTAACCTTCAAAGCTTGCTCCTTTTTCTTGCGTTCACGTTCCTCCTCGGTGGTTCGAACTTTAAGTCTGCCGTGCATTTTCTATTAATTTAAGAATAAAGGATGGCGACAGAAGTTATAAAAACCGACAGATTCATTAATGATAGGAATGCAATTTCATCATCGATATTTCATAAACATCGATATTTTAACATCGGTGTTAAGTCTCCAAAAACATCGATACATCGCTCAATGGGCGTGTTCATAAGAAATCGAAGGTGCCTAAGGCAGAGACATAGTGTTGCGACGAAGAGATAATTGCGACAAAAACAAACCTTTATATTTCAATATGGCAGAACATGGTAAAGCGAAAAGCGAAGAAAGCGACAAAGGGCAAGCGACGAAAAACAAAAAATGGTAATTCTCTTGTATAGGGTACAACTGCTAAAATAGGTTTGGAAATGTCTGGAGGGGTACCAACCGACGGGTTTCGGCCCCGTATTAACAATCTGTGGGCGGAAGGTTAATACTATTAACAATTTAAAAGTTGTTAACGAAAAACTTTTGTTCAATTTAGCTCTTGGGGAAACTTTCCATTATGGCCGTTCGTTAAAGGTGCGGTGGGCGAAGGGGGACTGGGCGTGGCACCTCCAACCGACCTTTTTGCGGAGGGCATGAACCGCCATTGACAAAAATGCAACCCCCGACCACCTAGGCCCCTATGGTTCCCTACGGACCCCTTAGAAAATGGCCAAAAATCGCAATTTTTACTTGCGTCCTTCGGCCGCGCTTAGGGATTTAACCCTTACTACGTAGAATTTTCTTTTCTGTGTGACCTAACTGGGGCTATCGCCCCAGTGATGTAACCTTGGGAAACGATGAGGTAACTAGAATTCCCTTTCTGTGTGGTAAACCTGGGGCTGCCGCCACAGTGATGTCTATTTTGGTTACTGGGTGTTTTATAAAAATGTCTTGTATATAAAAATGTGTATATAAAAATGTATTGTGCAAATAAATATTTAACGTTTTTCAAGCGAATAAACCCAAATGAAAATTGTGATTTTTTGCAATTTTTCTAAGGGGTCCCTAGGGAACCATAGGGGACCTAGGTGGTCGGGGGTTGCATTTTTGTCAATGGCGGTTCATTCCCTCTCCAAAAAGGTGGGTTAGAGGTGCCACGCCCACTTACCTTTCGCCCACCGCCCCTTTAACAAACAGCCTATTTCCAATTGTTTACCACTAGCAAAACGTCTCCGGTTATTGTTTTATACAAACAATGGCCCGTAGTCATAGTCAAAATAAAGTCGACTTTAAAGTTAGTTGCAGCTTTTTGACATAATTTTCAATGGGATATCTGTCAAAAAAGCTGCAACTAACTATAAAGTCGACTTTATTTTGACTATGACTAAGGGCCAATATCATTTATTTACTGGTATTTTATATATTTTGTTAATAAAACAGAGTAAACAAAATTTGCGCCTGCCAAAATTTTTATAACCTCAAATCGCTGGTATTGCCACTTTATTTCACATTTCATTAGCGCTATTACCCTCGGTTTATACTATGCACTTCTTGCTATTTCAGATATATATATATTAGGGCGGGTCGATTTAAAAATCGCTCATTGCTCTGTGAAAATCGTATTCTAGGGATCAAAATAAGAAACTTTGCCGAAGGAACCATACCTCTAAAACGACTTCTGATGTCCCCCAATTTGGGTCGAACTTTTGGGTAGGGGCAAATTTTGAAAAATCCCACTTTGACCCATTTAGAGTGCTCTAATCGAGTCCAAATGTATGACCGACCCCCACTAACTTTGGACGGCCGATCCACCCATGCCAGTGGCACACCCCCTGGAACTCCCCTGGGGGGTTCCCCATACAATCATTTCAAAAAATCACCATTTTTGGCCTTTACATGAAAAAATCAGCTAAATGGCTATGTTTTTTCTTTATTTTTATTTATTTATTTATAATAATATTTATTATTTATTTATAATAATATCTATTTTTTCTCTTAAGAAATTTATTTAGTCAGAACATATGTAATTGATCTTGCCGATCTTGGTCCAGTGGTGGTTGATTTATCCAAAGCTTCAAACAAATGCCGAAACGGAAGTTCGTTGAAGTGTAGAAGGCAAACGAACCAATGCAATGGTATTTTTAACAGCAATTCGAATCGTCGTATAATTCCACCGTGTGGGCCAGTGTTTGTTGGCTCACCGTCAGTGCATATTCCAATTAATGCATCCAGAGATATATTTTTATCGTTGAAAAACCATTTAATTTGGTTGTTTTGTATTCAACGGTTTCATGTTCCAGTCTTACGAAACCAATGAATTCAGAATTGGGTTCTCTCAAAATAACAAGATGAGGTTCTTTTACCATCCTAGTATGATACTTCTCATCAATTTTATCTATCGTTAAAGTATCATCTTTTCTGCCATCGAATGAAAACGCTAACAAATTGGTATCATCTAACCGTTTGCGAAGCACTTCTTGTCTGCATTTCTCTTTTTCTCTGCGAACTTTCGATTTATCCATGATGAGAGATTTCCCATGCTTATCTTTAATTTTAAAATCTTGCAAAAGAGCGGTTCCCAATGCTGATGCTACTCTGTCAGGCACACCAAATCTGTCACATACCAAGGTAAAGTTAAAAGAATCGTATCTCTCTGTGTATTGTGAACTTGTGCTTCTATCCATATCTTCTTGAACCGGTGGCGGTGCGTATGTTGAATCATCGGGATCTTGGTATGTTGGCATTGATGACATAGACGTTGCTCCTTGCTCTTCAGTTTCCATCACAAATGCATCCATTGTTAGTCTTCTCTGATTATGTTGATCGTGCATGAACTCTTTGAGGCGTTCGGGAACCCAGCCGCATGCACATGGAGCTGCCTTCAAATCGCATTTACATGTTCCAATGTAAAAAATTGTTTCCAGAGATTTTACATACTCTGTAAATTGTTGGGTGTTGTTTCTTCTCTTGATTTGCTCTTGATACTTGTCAAGCAATTTATTCAATTTATTAAATACACTTTTTTTCAGCATTATTTCCATACCAAGTTTTTCCCAAATTCCAATCAACTTATCTTGTACTTGAATAGTGAATGATTTATGGGAAAACTTTTTCTGTTCTGTTTTAGCACGTTCGCTTAAGTAAAAATAATATCTCAAGATATCCAGATGGGTTGGTAAATTAAGATCAGTTAAATCAGTAGACACACCAAATCAGTAACATCATGCTTGGGTATATGACTCATTGGGTTTTCGATAGTTGTTGATGTAGTTGCTTCATCTTGCGGTGTAGAGGATGGTGGATTCATTGTAAACTTTTTGATTTGGAATGGTCACTTCACTTATTATTTTTTTTGAAATATTTTTTTATCTGAAATTAGCACTTCACACTTTGAGTTCTTCACAACGACTTAATGCATTCACAAAAACTGTTGCGTTATATATGGTCTACGAGACGAGGTAATAATGCAGCGTTTTTGCTGCATTTAAAATGCAACATTTAGCACTTTCGAACATATGTTTTCGAAGAGCGTTCATGCTATAGCATTTAGCAAATGTACATTTACGCGAGTTCGAAATCGTATGCTTTTGACAAACAGCCGTGTTCCAGTCTCTTATTTAGATGCGTATATATTACGATCAATTCTCACGCAGAAGATAATGTGCAAAAACCCTACTGAAAAGGAAAAAATAAATTTTAAACCAAAAATTCAATACAAAAACTTGAATTGTTTTAACCATAAACGAACATTTGTTTGTGTATATATTTATTTGTCGGTGCATTCAATTAAAATTACTTAATTACTCACTTAATTAGGAAACAAACCAAACAGAGTTGATCACAAATTGATCCAGATTTCTATCAGTATCAAATCGATGTTGAATTTGCTAAACTTTTCTTTATCCAAATATGTAATGCAAAATAAAATAAATCTCGATCGGCGATCACTGAAACGCAGCTAGCAACTGTATACTCGAAAAAGCAATGTTGCCACTTTTTCTCTTTAAACCATGTTCGAATCGTGGACATTTTGGAAGATCACAGGGTTGCTTTTAGCATTTAGATTCTTAATGCAAAAATGTAGGTGCATTTAGGTGCATTTAGGTGACGAATTTTGTATGGATAAATGTACATTTAGAGTAGCATTTAGAGCTAAATGCGCTAAATGTGCTTTTACGCGTAAGCAAAAACAGCCTATAAGAATGAAATGGTAATTTCAATTCTACCTGCTGTGTCTTGTGGTGGCTTAAAAAAAAACAACACAAGCAATTTTACGATCTGCAATTGTGTCACAGTGATACCTTCATTGTTTAAAAGGGTTGCGGTGCATTCCAGTGATACCTTAATTGTTAAAATGGTTGCAAAAAACGCGCATTTCTTAAGAAGGTGCCTTAAAATACCCACAAAAAGGGTTGTAAAAACAACATTCATTTCTTAAGTAGGTGCTATAAAAAACTACACAAGTAAGTTTACGACATGCAGCTGTGTCTTAAAAAACGCACACAAGCAATTTTCCGATTTGCAATTTTGTCACAGTGATACCTTCATTTTTTAAAACGGTTGAATAAAAAACCCACACAACTATGTTTACGACATGCAAATGCATCACAGTGATGCCTTGGTTTTAAAAGGGTTGTAAAAACGCTAATTTCTAATAATTTTTTTAATTTCTTTTCTATTACTAAGTTAAATTAATTTTTTCATTTACATATGTTCTGACTAAATAAATTTCTAAAGAGAAAAATAAACTCCAAAAAGAAAAAACATAGGCATTTCGCTGATTTTTTTCATGTAAAGTGCAAAACCGGCGATTTTTTTATATGTTTGTATGGTGAACCCCCAGGGGGGTTCCAGGGGGTGTGCCACTGGCATCGGTGGGTCGGGCCTCCAAAGTTAGTGGGGGTCGGTCATACTTTTGGACTCGATTGGAGCACTCTAAATGGGTCAAAGTGGGATTTTTCAAAATTTGCCCCTACCCAAAAGTTCGACCCAAATTGGGGGACATCAGAATTCGTTTTAGAGGTATGGTTCCTTCGGCAAAGTTTCTTATTTTGATCCCTAGAATATGATTTTCACAGAGCAATGGGCGATTTTTTTGCCTCCCCACAAATCGACCCGGCCTAATATATATATATATATGCGGTTTACTTAAA